ATAGATATCTGGTCAACCATCTCAGAAAGTAGAGCTTTTTGGTGAGTAATAATCAGCTTGGTTTTTTGGACTCAGTCGTCCAAGTCAATACTCAGGCTGACACATGGTGAAAGATTCCTCACCCAAACTGATTTCCCCTCACAGCAAGGCTGCTGCTATACTATACTATACTATACTATACTATACTATACTGGATCTAAAATATACTTGGTATGGTATATTTCCAAATCGGTATAGTCAAAATATACTGCAGTATATTTAGGAAAACCTGTCAAAAATTGTATAGGTCTCTTCCAGATATATTTGGTGAATCCAGATATACTGAGTGTATTTTTCAGCATAGTAAAAGTACAAAGACATTGGGATATTTCCCATAATTCTTAGTATAGTATAGTTGAGATATAATATACTGGTATAATCTAGAGGCAGACTTGCCCACAAGTCACAGGTCAAAGTGTATCAGTTTGTTGCAGGTCCCTCTCTTGACTACTTTTGAGGAGTGAGTGTGGGATTTTTTTGACTATATCTCCTTGTCAGATAATCCAAAGGGAGTCTATATCATTAAAAGCTTAATTTCATCATATCACTTGTCATGTCAATGAGAGCAATATTATCTAAACAGTTTATTAAAGTTAACCAAGAGTCTGTGGAAACCTACTAGGCTGTTGACTTGTGGCACTGGTACCCAGTCTGACCTTCAAATTCCAAACCACCTTGCACTTGTAGCTTTGTCTCTTGACAAGATCCAGAGGAGAAGTCAAGATATGAGTACATTCTCTATTTCCCTCTTTTTTGATACCTCAAAACCTATTTTCAATCTCACAAACTGATTCCAGACTACAAGATATTTTGAAAGAATGCCAATCCATGGTGACCTATATGGTGTAGTGGTGTAGGACACCAAGAGCATACAGGTGACACAAAATTGGATGTGTTGCACTGTCATTGCTGGTGTGCAAAATCTGTGAGATTGGTTTGCAACAGCATCTTTTTGCATTTGCATGTAACACCTCTCACTTGGAACTTCCCACACTTCAACTTTTTGGATCAGACTGGATCCAACCTGACAACTATCCAAATATTCATCACAAAAAATTCATCATTCATGATCATACAGGCCAAAACTGGTTGTGGAACAGTGTCAGGTTGTTTGGCACAATGAACAATCCCTCTGGATTGGTTGTTCCAATGTCAACAAAGTCCCCAGAAAGTTCAAAGATTCTTCAACATAGAGGTCTTACAGGCTATGGCTTCAATTTTCCACAAAAGAAACTTGGTTTTCTGAACATATGAATCTCAAAATTTCCAAAAACAAACATGAGATTTGACCTAGATAAGTATCAGGAGTGTATTGAACCTTAGCCCCATACACTTTCATGAACAGTCAAAATCAAATTTTCTGTCTTGATTGCAGTGGCACAACACAGGTCACTCATAAGTAAATACATCAAGTCATCATGGTTTTTGATGCCAAATCACTGATCAAAAGCCTGATTTGCACATCTCTTGTCCAAAAAAACAAGGCAGGTGTGCACAGGAAACAAGAGAGAATTTTCCCGCGGGAAGACCGATTACACATAATGTAGTTTCTGAGCCATAATGTACAAATAACACAGATATTACACCAAAATAATACATTTTGGCTCATTAACTGAGTCAGATACAATTGGTTTTCCCGCGGGAAAATTGTCCCTTGTTTCCTGTGTTTGGGAGGTACAGTCAAACCGGAAAAGGTTGCCACCTTGGAGAAGTTGAAGAGAAGAAGAAGTCCGTGCGGGATTTACCCGATGGGCTGAGCAGAGCGCCGGTTCTGTGTACCGGCGCGTCGAATGAAAGATCCTCGCATGTCCCACTGCATGGATCTTTCATCTGAAGATCCAATGGCCAACGATCCTTACCCACTCCTTCCACACCTTTACATCCAAATCATCAGTGACCATGGGGTCTTTCGGTCGACTCCACTGGCCTTTCTTCCCCTCAAGCCTTCCCGAAAAGTTTTCGTCAAAGATTTCTCGCTTCCTTCTGTGTTCGATACTGTATCAATGGGGTTCCGCAAGTATTCTGCTGATCTCAAGCTTGCCGCCACCCAATTGGCTTTCGAAAACCATTCATTAGCCGATATCAATGACACTCTTCATCACAGCATCTCACCTCGCTCCCTCGCCCGCTGGAAAGAGCTTTATGAAACCACCAACAATGTAGTCCGAGACCCTGCAGACTACGAAACTCGAGGCCGCCCACACATCTTATCAGACGAGCAACTCAACATCTTACGCGACATTGTCTTTCGCCACCCGGACATGTATTTGGATGAGATTCAAGCTCAGTTGGAACTCGTCACTGGCGTCAAGGTGTCCAAATCGACTTTGGGGAACGAACTTCACGAACGTTTGGGGCTCTCATTGCTTGTCACCAGGGGTGTTCATCATAAACAATCCATTCGCGATCGTGCGAATTATATTCGAACCGTGGCGGGAATACCTCCCGAATGTTTTGTTTTCATTGGTAGGTTTTTGATTCTTTTGCTTCATGTCATCGCCTGTTGGATGCTTATAAGCTGTGATTGCATCCAGACGAGTCTGGTGTCGTCGGCCGGGACGCCTTGCGACCACGATCTTGGGCCCCCAGAGGCACTCGGACAGTTCGAACCAAGCGTTACGGTGACAAAGATCACTGGACCATCCTTCCCGCCGTATCTGAACAAGGTATGATCGCCGGCGTGGTGGTCAAAGGCCCCGTGGAAAGAGTCCACGTCGAGATGTTTCTCAAACGTCACTTGGTGAGGACCTATCAGACTCTACACTTATTCATAGTGACTCATTAGTGCGAGTTCTAACCCTGGATATTTAGCTACCCGTAATGAACGCCTACCCTGCTCCTAACTCTGTATTGGTACTGGACAACGCGAAAATTCACCACGGCGGAGATATCGAGGAAATCTGCCGAGAGAAGGGAATTCTGTTGGTTTATCTTCCGGCGTATTCACCAGATCTCAACCCGATTGAGAAGGCCTTCGCGGCGATGAAAAAACGACTTCAACGCGAAAAAGTGTGGCATATGATTGAGGATAAAGCTACTTACTTACTTCGCTTGGCGGGAAGGGTGATGACTCGCAGACTTATGCAACCTTTAATGGTGAACAGTGGTTATACCACTGATCATTACTGGGATGGATACAATAGCCGATTCGATGAATGATTCAGTCAGTCTTCCCTTTATTTTTGATCTTGTTTACGATTGGTGCTGATATTGATGTGATTGTTTTGGCCTTGTTCAGATATCTTTTGGATACTTATTATGTTATCCGTAGTCTTAGTCGAAACAGGCCTGATGGCCGTGTGGACGTCATCGTTTCCGCTTGGGTGATTCGCAAAGTAACCAATGTTCGGCGTGATTGTTTGTGTGTTGTTCCAATGTAGCGCTATGTTCACGGCCATACGTAATGGCCGTGAGGTACTTTGTTTGTTGTGTGATAGCCTTGGAAGGCTGTGTTGTTAGATGGCCGTGAGGTCCTTTGTTTGTTGTGTGATAGCCTTGGAAGGCTGTGTTGTTAGCGAAGTAAATGAAAGAATCACGTCTGTTTTCTGTGCCCCACCTTTTTGTGTTTGTGATCGCGGAAGTTCACATCCGGAGCCTCAACGATCACATGAGCCCTAATCAGATCAATGCATTTGTCGTAGAGGCCACCTCGACCTAGTTCCGAAAATTTGACTTCGCGATTGAAGTCAATTTAGGTGAGGTTGGAATTGATGGACGTTTGTCCATGTGAGGGGCCATGAGCATCTCACATGATGCTCATGTCCAAACGGAGTGCACTTTGGTCATCTCCCGAAGTGCGCTATCGTGACCCCAAGGTTTCCAAGTAGTGGTCACCATTGTCTGGTGCCAACTTTTCAGTAAGGTCAATATGCCCAAATCGGCAAAGGGCAATTGGATTATCGAGTAGGGCACTGAGATCTCACACGTTCAAAGTGACATATTTTCATTTCACAAGATTTGACATAATTTTCACACACACACACATTGATAGGATAAGCAATAACAACTAAACATTGTAGGCGCACACAACTTCATATCACAAAAACTTGGTCACATCACAAAGAAGGAAATGGATATTGTTTAGGTCCTAAATCATTTTTAATCATCGTGTTTTTCCATGTTTAGCATTAGACAATGTAGCGTTCCATTTCGTTACGTAAATCGAACGTTAAAGACACGTGACGAGAGTTTGTCATAGAATCAGTCACGAGAGGCACAGCCAGGGAATTGACTAGGTCCCGCGCGAGGGACAGTAGGAGTCGATTGAACCGGGTCAGCGAATCGTGCAGTTTTAATAGGCGTAGGACCTTTAGGAGGGCTTGGGGTTTTGTAACTAGCAATTTCTTTCGTGATTTGAGCATAAAATAAGCGACTTTGAGCGAAGAGCTTCATGGCCATGCCCCATGATATCCCTAACCTCAACACGTCGCGGATGTCCATGATCTCAGGGAACAAGAATTGGTCAAATGAGTCGATGTGGTGGTCGCCGAAGGCTTCGGCCAATTCCTTGACAAAAAAAGGGGCGATACCAGCATAGTCCAAGAACTCCTCGAAGGTGGAGAACTTCTTGACCTCCTCGATGCCTTCTCGAGTGACGCTGATATGATAGCCTTGGCATTCAGCATAACCACCAGGTTTTTCGTGGTTAGGAAAATCAGCGTCGGCCGCTTTGTTCTTCTTAGCGGTGGGAGGACCAGCGGCAGTCGACAAGGGCCTTTTCACATCGGTCCATTTGAAACCGTTGAGGTACATGGGCGGATTCTCTAAGTCAACACCTGCCTGAGCTTCGGCCTAATCGAAATCAAAGTCAGTTTACATAATAAATGTTATGCACACACTTGAAAGCACCCACCAATTCTTGCGCCCATTTGTGTAGATGCTCATAATTCATTTGCATGAACTTCGAAGCCTCCAGTGGCTTGTACACACGCCAGCCCTCACGACTGTGATTTTCGAGGCTGCCATACTTCTTAATCAGTGATTCGAGGTTCACTTGAATCGGGTCCAAGGGTATCGAATCGGCCAATTGCGACGACGAGACAGTCGAGTTGTTCATGGCACTGATGGCCTTCAGACGGGATTGAGCCATAGCAATTTTCTGTTGGAGGTGACATCTCATCAGCCTAGCGCAAGGACCGCCATGTGTGTCAAGGAAAGAACTCACTGTATCAGCCATTTTCGCCGATTTCGCAGGGTCGGACATGGCGATGTGCAGACCCGCCTCTTTCAAAGGCGCAAGCTGCACGGCGGCAAAAAAATCTTGAACGTCTTGATCCTTGACCAGTTTTCGTCCCTTGCTGCGACTGAAAACGTCATGACGATCGATATAGGCAGTGATAGAAACAGATCCACTAGCGTCGGCAAGCTTGAAGATCGCGCTGTTGCCTCCGGGGGGTGCATCTTGATCAATGGTGTCAGCTATGGTAAAAAGCAAGTCTTTGAGAGCGAGAAAGTTGTTGTCGTCGATATCGATGATTTTCGAAGTCGGCTCGATGCGATAAGCCATCCATTTACCAGCCCCGGATTTCATCTTTTGAACTGAGGTTTTGAGAGGATTGACTCCCTTCTTGGTATACATCAAATAACCCAGTTTGACGTTGTATGATCCCATCACGTTCACTTCCTTAACAGGGGCTGTTAAAAAATGGCACAAACTTTAGCCCATTGCATGACACGCGGCGGAAAGAAAAGTCTTAACCTTTTCCTTTTTTGGGCGCCTCGATGACCACGTCATCGGACGCGCTGGAAGCAAACGACGGGACTCGCGTCGCCTGGCGTTTCCCTTCGGAGTTAGTGGGGTTGTGCGAACGCATCGTCGCCTCAAAGATTCGGGTGGAACAATTTTTGAAGGGAGGAGTCCAATCCAACTCATCGAGCTCGTCACGTTCATCCCCACTGTCGAGATCTAGGTGGATAGTCTTCGACGGTGCTGCTAATTGGGGCGTGGAGGCGACCGGAGTACGAACGGCCATTGCGGTACCGTGGTTGCCTCGGTTGGTGACATTCCAGTTCGACAACTGGGCGTTACCTGCTGGAGGCTGACCAACCGGCCTATGACTATCACTTCAAGACATCAGTGAGTTTGGTCGGATGATTAATAAATGAAAGTATGCTGACCTGGTTAAAGCTTTGCTGTAGCTATTGTGACCCAAGAAAGGCACGTTTTGAAGTCCTATAGTTCCAAATACCATTCGGTCATATCCTGCAGGTCCGCTGCCATTCACCACCGGCCTAAAAAATCATTCAAAAGAACAGTCAGGACAGTGCGCGGTAACAACAAAGGGCAAAATATAAACTTGCGACGGTAACATGGCGTCAAACTCGTTTCCCACTGGATTCAAAGAGTTAGCCACGCTTGAAGGAGTTTGTTTAGAAGACATAGTTGCCGATTGTTGACGATATGGATGAAATAAAGTCCGATTTAAAAGGGTTTGATAAGGCTGAGTGAAATCAGAAGGAAGCGAGAAATCTTTGACGAAAACTTTTCGGGAAGGCTTGAGGGGAAGAAAGGCCAGTGGAGTCGACCGAAAGACCCCATGGTCACTGATGATTTGGATGTAAAGGTGTGGAAAGAGTGGGTAAGGATCGTTGGCCATTGGATCTTCAGATGAAAGATCCATGCAGTGGGACATGCGAGGATATTTCATTCGACACGCCGGTACACAGAACCGGCGCTCTGCTCAGCCCATCGGGTAAATCCCGCACGGACTTCTTCTTCTCTTCAACTTCTCCAAGGTGGCAACCTTTTCCGGTTTGACTGTATTAGCGGTACACAAATATCAAAACCGTATGCGGAAAACGCATGGGAAACCGAATGAAAACCCGCATGGGCGTTATGGGTTTCCCCGCAAAAA